ACTCTTTCCACTAGACTTTAGCGTATGTAATCTCCCCCTAGGTAACCCATGGGATGGAAATAAAAGGAACGCAATACAATGTGGACAAACGAACCCTCTCCGTGTCCCCACCCCACAGAGTAAAGCGCACGCACCTCCCTCTGTGTTGTAGCAATAGGCTGTGTAGTGTCCTGAGCCAAACCCTTTCCCGTGATGCATGACCACTGCGGAGAGATCATAGGCAAAGGTCTCTTTGTCAAGAGAGGAGAGCATGTCCCTGCAGCAGTAAGGTTCCATGGTTAATACCTGGTCAAAGACGACATGGACCCCAATCTTCTCTCGATGATTACGGCCAGACCACCTGGAACGTGGACAGAAACTTACTAGTAAAAACTGCCACATGTGACCGTAGGTAGAGGGCGGTCAGACAAGGAACCAGGAAAACCTAGCCTTCTGGCTGTGGTTTTCCCATCCACAAAATGGTGGTGATCAGTGTCTATGCAGACTTGTGGGACGCTGAACCTAGGAGTTCCTAATCATGTAACTCAGGCACAATCTTTCTGTAGTGTACTGCTGGCCCATCTTTTCAAAAATGATTTTTTTTTTTGAGAGGTTTTTGCTATAGGGCACATGCGCTTGCCAGACAGAGAGAGACAGAGAGACAGAAAGCGAGAAATCACCCCCCAGGGGGGATGGTCACGCCACAATCCCTTCTCCTCCATTCTCCTCTTGGGATCTTGGACACATATGCACCCACGCCCGGCGTGAGTTTAAGCCACTGGGTCTGGGACTCGAACTGCGGTCGACTACATGGTAGCCCAGCGACACAGCCATTACACTAACTGCTGGTCCCTCAAAGATGATTTTATACTTTATTCTGAAGGTAAAACCACATAAGCCCAAGTGAAGCTCAGACACTGGGGCAGGCTGGACAGGGCTGTGATGGCAGAAGCCCAGTCCCGCTGGCCCCCCATCACCTTGCCATGGAAAGTGCAAGGTCTCAAGGGAATAGACTTCCCCTCCCAACACCAAAGAAGACGTCTGCCCTCACACCAGAGCCTTTCAAGCAGCTACTCCCACAGCTCACAGCCATCTGGGACTCACCTGAATCTTTTAAGGTGCAGCCGGAGGACCTGAGGTAGTCTGTAGATCATTAACTGCTTTCTAGCTTCACTCAGAACAAGGGGTTTGGGGTTGGATTTTCGTCGTTTGCCTATACGGTTTGGGAAGGTATAAAACATAGGTTGTAAAGAGTCTCATTTTTTATTAGCCATTCAGAGACAGTGACTTGCCACTCAGAGCATTCTCCTTAGTATTCAAACCTCAATTCTATTCAGAGCAACAAGGTGACCCTCTCAGCACTGCACTCCCTAGCTTCACCTGGCTACGTGGTGTGGCCCTGGAAGTCCTGGCTAAGATAAAAGGAACGGCTGTGTGACACTCTTGGGGTGGCTGCTTAAAGACAGCTGAGTCTGTGGTAAGGTGCGTCCCTTTGTCCTCGCTCCCTGCGACTGCTGGGATTCTCTTGGGCCACAAGGTAACCTTGAGGATGGACGCCTTGTATTAGGATAGGAAACAGAATGAGGAGGAGCTTGGTTCCCTAATGACCATGCTGCCACCCTATTAGCCCCTGCATGCCCTTCAGATTTCTTTTACATAACAGAAAAATAAAATGGCATCTCATTTTAAGTTATTATTTGGGTTGACTGTAACAGGCAGCTGGAACCTAATCCTGATATATCTACTTTCAAAGTTTTACTACCAGCAACTTCCATAGTTGGTATGGGTTTACGATGGTACCCTCCTGATATGAGTTCATTAGTGGGATGTAACGGATGGTCACTGTAGCAGTGTACACAGTAGGAGAACATATGTTAGCGTCCTGTGTCTTTATATGGGAGGACCATAGTATCAGCTTGAAAGCTTTTGTTTTCACTAGATAGGCCTAATTCTATCTCCTGCGCATAGCTAGCTGTAGGCTGTTTCCTCACTAGTAAAATGGGGAGTAATGCATATATTTCATGTAGGAAAAAAGATTAAGAAGATAACTAAAGGACAGAATATTAAACAGATTTATTTTTCAATATGACTTGCTTACGGTACCCGCAAAGATATTTAGAAAATAAACTTCGTTGGCTCTGTATTTTTATGCTGTACCTGGTTTTTGATGCTTCTTGAATGAAAACATACTGCTGGCCATGCAGGACAAGGCTAAGAGGGTGGCTACATGCATGCAGTCCAAGGCAAACCAGTGCTCAGACTAATTTTGTCCCTAAAGCTATTGAATCATGGGGAAAATGCATTTCCAAATTTTAGCAAGTAAACAATGGAAATAAATTTCCCTAAATTTCTATCAGATGCTTTTTCTATAACCATTGCTGATGACTGCTCTGTTATTATATTAATTAAATGCACAAATGGATGGGAATCTGAAATTAGTGGCCCACTATGGTGCCTGCTAATTGTCTTTAAGCTGTTGGTACCGTGGTCTCAGCGTCTGAAGAGCTTGGCATCTGATTCCAAGCCTCGTTTGTACCACTGATGAGAGGCAGCAAATCAGAGCCAGACAACAGAGCTTTCGTGACAATAGGACGCGGAGGTGTTGCTTCTCATGATAAATGCATCAGAATGAGCGTGCCAGAAGAGAAGCTTTTACCAGGGTGTGCAGTCACGTTTTTCTTGGGGGTGGGGGGTGGGGAGGCGTGAGCAGGAAATGAATTCAAAGAGGGGCCTGGCTTGATTTTCATTCCTGGTCACCAGATTTTTGAAAATTACTGCAGCTCTGCCTAGGAGCCTTGGCAATGACTGCCACGTTCAGCAGAGGGAGTATGTGAGCTGAGCTGAAGACAATATAGAATCTGGCTTTGTTTCCCTAAAATGAAAACCACAAAGAAAAAGAAATTATTGATTCAACTGAGATTGATCGGTTCTGTCTCCGTTTGATTAAGCTGGCCACACAGGTAAAAGACTGACAATTTGGAAACTTCTTAAGCAACAGATCAAGGCATCTCATTCCCTCACCATGGTTTTCCTTCCCAGCCATCATTTGCATCTGCCTAGAGAAATCTTGATAAATTGGCGTATCTGACAACCAGAAAAGCAATCCTTTCTTGCAAAAAATAAGTACAAACATTTCTTGTCTAATCTATCATATCCAAGGATGATGGAGTTAAAGCTGTTAATATTCTTTTGTTCCTTATAAGCAAAAAGCTTTATGAATCACTAGTTAAAAAACAAAATGGGGTCAGCAGGTGGCGTAGTGGTTAAGGCTCCAGAATTCCCACATGGCCAATTGCAGTTCAGGTGGTTCAAGACCTGGTGGCTTGAAAATCACTCTGGGCATGTGTGTGTGCATGCCCAAAATCCTAGGAGGAGAATGGAGAAGGGATTGTGGCATGGCCGTCCTCCCAGGGAGGTGATTTTTCACTTTCCCACTCAGTGTCTCTTGTCTCTAAAATGCATATGGCAAAAACCTTAAAAAAAAAAGAAAAGAAAAGAAAAAAGGGAAAAAAAAAAAAAACCCTAAATTTAAAAACAGGGCTGGTCCTGTATCCTGGGGGTGAAAGGAGCCAGATCCCATGTGGCCGACTGTGCAGTTCAAAGCTCAGCCCCAGTGGCCTGAAGAACTCTCCAGGCATGTGTGCGTGTCTCAAATCCCAAAAGAATGGAAAAATGGAGGAGAAAGGATAGCAGTGTGACCATACCCCCGGGGAGGTACTTCCTCTCTTTCTCTCCCTGTCTCGCACACATTCCCTCTGGCAATTGAACAAAATGAAACAAAACAGAAAACAGAGAGTGCTCTAATAAGATACTTGCTCCTGCATCTCAGAATGAAACAGGGCAGGTGGGCTGCAGTTAGCCGCACACAGTGTTTCCTATTTTCTTTTAAAATGGCAAAACAGTATCAGATGTGACTTCATTTTTGTCCTGACTCTTCAAAGAACAGAAAAGGTTTCCCACATTTACTTCCTTAAATATTAATGATTTAATACCTTAAAAAAGGGCAAAATATATTAAAAAGTGGTACTATAAGATTTATTTTCCAAACTTGAAGTTCAAACTATTATATGGTTATAAATTGATTTCTAGGTGTCTGTACTATCTGTTTTTTATTTTTCGTTTTCAAATCGTTTTATGCCATAAAAGCCAAACATGAGCTTTATATATTTGCTCCAGATTTCCTCTGTACATGCTGGATTGGCGGAAACAGACAGAAGATCCCGACATAAAATGCTCATGTAGCCATGTGAAAACTGTTCCACTCTGACCCTCTGAGGCGTGTGAAGAAAAAAATAAACGAAGAAAATATCCATGAAGCTGCAGCACACCTAAGACTTGCTTTCTTTCTTTTTTTTTTTTATAATTATTTGACTTTATTTATTCATTCATTCATTTATTTTAATTTTAACCAGATAGAGACACACAGAGAGAAGGAAAGTGAGAAAGCAAGCCACCAGGTTCAGGACTTGAACCATGGTTGACCATGTGGGAGTCCAGCGCTTCAACCACCATGCCACCTGCTGGCCTGAGACTTCTGACAGACTTTAGCCATTCAGTACAAAAGCACTTTTAATGTTTTGTTTTAAGTCAAAGGGAGTATATACTTGCCTGGCAGAGAGGGAATGGAAGAGAAAGCCCCCCTCAATGGGACATGTCATACCTCAATCCCTTCTCTTCCATTTCTCCATCCTGTTGGGATTTGGGGCACACATGCACAGGTACCCACTATGTTTTCAAGCTGCGGGAGGTGGGATTTGTTTGCCATGTGGTTGCCATGCAGGATCCAGCTCCCTTAACCACCAGGCCATGAGACTGAACCCAAAAGCACACTGTTCTGATACCACAGCCCTCACACAGGCTATGCCCCCTGAGTTTAGAGTAAATAAGAACAGTCAGACTCTATATTCATGAGTGTAAGCAGGGACCCCACAGCACCCTGAAGCTAAGTACTAACGTTCCAGAGTCCCCATTTCAGGGACCACGCTTTCAAATGCCTCCCTAGATGACAACTAAGAGGAGTCAAAAAGGCACAACTCCCAAACTTCTGGGTTTTGGTTTTTTCTTTCTAGTATATAAAGTCCATATGTTTGTTTTCCAAAAAATGGGAGCAACAAGTCTTTAAAAGTTGCTTTAGAACCACTTGGTATCATCAACTCTTTGATGAAGGGGCAAAAGAAGCACCTTGCCCTGATGTCCCAGTTGCACACCCCCACTCCCTGCCCCCTCTCCACACAGCACTCACTGTTACACTGGTCACACGCGTAGACTCTCCCCTCCAGGGCCTCTGTCTCTGTGAACTTGGCCAGCATCTCAGTGAGCAGGCACTCCGTCTGATTCAAAGGGACGAATCCCTTTTCTATGCAGTGATAGCGTTCAGGGAATTCCAGGGACAGATCCCAAAAGGGCTCAATGGTATTGGATTTGTAATTGCATGATACACACGTGACCTAGAATGAAAAGACTGGTTTAGATTTTGTAACTTCCATGCTTCCCATATGTTTTTCCTTGCTTTATATGCAAAACATAACTTTACCAAAACAAAGTGTATAGTTTACAAAAAAGAACTGTAATATTAAAATAACTATGACTTTAATTAAAAGCAGTAGGGCATACTCTAATATACATTTGTAGCTCTGCAATGCTAGCTGGAACTGAAGCACCACCCGGCAGAGATCACACCTACCTCCCTTCTCCTCTCCCAAAACATGCTCTGCCATTCAGTGCTGCAGGACGGACTGCATGCTACTGCGGAATCATTCTAAGACGCAGTCCAAGACAGGCAGTCTGTGTCTCTCACTCTTACATTCCTCTCCTTGACCTTGGTCCCCGCATGCAGTTTGACTTGCCTCTTTTTGCCTTTAGGGGTGTTTCATGCAGCACCTCTACACTGACCTCTGTGCCAGCACAACTTCAAAGAAAGGGGGGGGGTGGTATCCCTAGTGGGGCCTCCACCCTCACCTTAGGGTTTCAGCTGGGTTCCCCACTTTTTAAAGTGTGAAAATTCACTTTCTGTAAATTCACACAAGGACTTATGAATCTTTCCTTAGGTGCTTACATGGCTAAAAATCTAGAAAATGAAAGATGATAGAGGCTAAGAAGGAGGCTTGCTTAGGCCTAGGCCTGGTCCCAGCCACACTTCTCTTTTATGTATGTAAAGAAGGAAGAATGCTCTATCAAACCACGTGGAACCAGAGTTACAGGCCAACACAGTTTAGATTCCTAAAACCGATCAAAAGATGGCACGCCAACACTACGCACTTAATTCTAACAATGACAGTGCCTATTACCCATATCTTCATAAATGGCTAGACATTCAGTGAAAAATAAAGCAATAAGCAAGGACTTATGAATCTTTCCTTAGGTGCTTACATGGCTAAAAATCTAGAAAATGAAAGATGATAGAGGCTAAGAAGGAGGCTTGCTTAGGCCTAGGCCTGGTCCCAGCCACACTTCTCTTTTATGTATGTAAAGAAGGAAGAATGCTCTATCAAACCACGTGGAACCAGAGTTACAGGCCAACACAGTTTAGATTCCTAAAACCGATCAAAAGATGGCACGCCAACACTACGCACTTAATTCTAACAATGACAGTGCCCTATTACCCATATCTTCATCAATGGCTAGACATTCAGTGAAAAATAAAGCAATAAGGCGAGACAGACAAAAAGTCTGGCCAGTAAGAGTAGGCGCGCTCACCAACAAGAGCACCACGGGGCTCAGTGGAAGGTAGGGTCCCGCCAGAATCAGTTATGCATAATCCCAGCAAATGCTGCTGTCCTCCCTGGCCCAGTAATCGAGGAGGAAGTCCAAACCGAGAAAGGTCTCGCTCCCTGCCCTGGGCAGAGTCGGGATGAGTGGGCAGGCACCTACCTGACTGAGCAGCTGCCCATGAAATATGGTGTTCACCACCTTTAAGACCTGTTTGGTGAGCTTCCTCTGGGAGAAGGGGATGAGGATCCGGCGCGCGGCGCCCTCCGACTCGAGTTCCTGCTGCACTTTGTGGAGCAGCTCGCAGAGAAATTCCTGTGCGTCCTGCTGGTCGTAGCCGCGGAAGGCGGGAATGAGGCTCCACACCGAGTGGAGCATGGCGAAGGGCGACACCAGGGCCCACTTCCCGGACCACATGACTCGGAAGAGGGTGTGCAGTTCGTGGCAGAGGGAAATGTGCTTCGAGCTGGGCTCCTTGTTCTGGATGAGCTCCAGGCTCCTGCTGATGGAGACCCCGCCGGCCCCCGCGCTGGCAAGCCTGGGCCCTGTCGCTCCTGCTGGTCAGCTCGGAGGCCGGCCTGCCAGCCAGCTGGGCCTTCCCGTTGGGGGCCTGGGGAAACAGGTGTCCCGTCTTGGAAGGGTCCAGGTTCAGGAAACACTCGCGGAACTTCTGGAGGTGGCTGAGCACCTGGAGGATGGAGTTCATGTAGCAGGTGTTGCCCAGGTTGCGCAGGCCCGTGACGCCCGGGGCCACGGCCGGCTGGCGGCGCGGCTTGAGCGGAGCGGGGGGCGCCCGGCGTGAGGTAGGCAGGGCGGCGGGGC